TTTACCAGAGATAGGTAATTTGTCACTGTCTCCACTTGCAGGTCTCTTCCTTTTTCTTGACTTTCTTGACATCTGGAAAATGGAAAACTTAACATAACATAATTGAACCATCAGGTGATTGTGGCCATTCTAACTAGCTAATGAACTTTCCCCTATCCCAGGGCAACGATTTCCTGTATAAACCCCTCAATAGCATAGGGTATTCCGTAGGATATTCCGGGGTTACATACATACATACATTGGTTCGGGTGTCAGTGTCATACGTTCGGTTCGGGTGTCAGTGTATGACATTAAATTCACAGACTGCAGACGTCCGACTACATTTAGCCCTAAAAAGCGCTCTGCTTAGCCTGAATCACTAATCAAGGTTAGCCTGAATAGCGCTTACTGTTAACTCTCGGTGATGGAAATGGGAGTGTGATATTAGTTAAAACGTCTGCAGTCTGTGGACTTAGACTTAGTAGTAATAGGTCCACATCAGCTGTGAAGTTGCTTATTTTAAACCTACTTATCAAATAAACGTATGTCTCTCTGTATGTATGTATGTAGTCTGCAAATTATGTTATACACCGGCAACAAAGTGCATCACAACGTCAACGTACATGATCAGCTGTTTGCAACGGGAAACACGTGCTTACAAATCCGAGCACAATGACTAACATTCATGAAATATACTCAATAAAGTTGGTTTTGGTTTCAGTTTCGTGTGTAACATGGATTTCAATGGGGACAAGAAATCGTTTGGAGCACTAGGGAACATTGAAAAGTAGCATACCGGTGATGTCCCAGCCACTCCGTCCTCCATCTTTAATTCGCGCGAGCAGCTGAGAAAACTGTCTGAGAGATAAGGTTTCCTCCTGTCATGTAAGCATCATGTATTGTTCCAAAAAATGGGCCGTGTGGACTTCTCACTTACTCTTATATGACGTGATTGAAGAAGCGGATACTCATCATCATGACGTCTTGACGAAAATGAACAGACTTGAAGGTCAGAATTTAGATACAATTCGACCTGTGTTAGCCTCAGGAGCGGTCTTTGTGTTCATCTTTACCTTTCAGTTTTACAGGTACTGTAAATTCTCCACTTAAGTAATTCGTGATCTTCTTGTTCTTGTCAACGTGTCCAAGTAACCTAGTTGAGCGGAGCTTTGATTCCGGTACATTCGTTCAGTTTTTAATTTCAAGAGGGAGAAGCTTAGTGTCGGCTTTAATTTTATAACTTAGCGTAAAAATTTAAACTCTGTGATATGTGCAGTAAATTAATGTGCTAAACGTTGGGGAGGGGGAACGAGGGCATGAGAGGGGAGCTCTGTGCAAAAAAGATAGATTTAAAACAGCTGTTCTCTGATATAATATTGGGACCTCAGAGTTTAGCATGTAATGTAGCTGAGATCAAATTATTGGCTGTCGAACTGTCGGGAACAACCTGCTAAATACAGTGGAGCTTTTAGTAGATGGAATAAATTATAGTGAAACCTGTATTGAGCAGACCTCATATTATAAAGGGGACACCCCCTATTAAGTGGACACCCGCTTGAGTCCCAAAATTTTCTTCTCGCAGTTACTGTAAAATAAGCCTACATTCAGCTTTGTTAAGCGGATGCGGACATCAATATTAAGCCATTTTGTTGCAAAAAACTTGCAAATATAAGCTGACACTTCAAGGGCTTTTTACTTCTAAAAGCTCTGCTCAGACTCCTCATTGTTCAGCGATGTCATTTTAAAGCTACTGTAACTAGTAGATTATTCCAGATTGATGCATTGACTGCCTGGACATTTGTGCTATGAGCAGTCTTTGATCTTACACTGTATTACAAAAGGGTTAATTAACTATTATTGCACAATGTATTAAAACCTGTTTTGAGCAGACACCCTGTATTAAGCGGACACTAGTGAGTGTCCCAAGGGTGTCAACTTAATACAGATTTCACTGTAAAAGAGCAAAATATAATATAAAAATATAAAAACTGGTGACTATCAGTAGAACTATTAGGCTTTTAGTTAATATAATTGTGGATAAGATAGGTATGACTGAACTACAGACGAATAACAAGGAATTTGGAATTTCTGTATGTATGTAATTTCAGACTGGTTAAAGTTATTGAATTTCTTATTGATCATCGTCATCATCACTGACATGCTCATATCATCATTGTCATCATCATGATCTGTCATGCCTTTCTTGGCGGAGAATGGAATTTGTAGCTCCTTAATTGATAACCACTGCTCTTTCTTTCTCTTATCTGTAGTTGTCCTCCATTACTTATTGGAATATGGGTTCTTGCATTTGGAATTGCAGTAGGGTTTCTCATTTTCAGGTAAATAAACGTGACAGTGTTGTGCTGATTCATTTATTTTACATTAATTAGTAGAAGTTTTTAATAACTTTTGTTTTCATTTCATAAGTTACACGTCACTGTTCAATATCTTACAAGGTACATGTACAGTAATAAGTTTCTGAGCAGTGGTGTTTGAAAAAAATAACAAGGAATTGGGATTTCTGAAAATGACCATGACGTTGTTGCATTAATAATTTTAAAAATAAATGAGGATCTCTAATAAGAAACAGACTGAGTGAGCCTTTTTGTTCAAGTAAAGTATTAATAACTGGGTGTCTGGAGGCTGGGTTTTCATTATGATTCTCTAAATCCTAATTTGTATTTCAATAAATACACGTATTTTGCATGTACTTTACACTTGCTGTTTCAGTTATTGTCCAGTATTACCAAGTCTATTATTGCACTGGGGTCAACGTAAAAAGGTATATAGCGTATTCTGAACATTGCTTTTCATAATTATTTTTAAAACATGTTTCAAAGTAATGTTAACACCTTGTCTGGAGTACATGTCACACGTACCTTTTGTATCTCCACCTATTTGACTGATATACAAAGTCATGTAAGAGTGACTCAAGTTAAAATGTACATCGATGTGAATGCATGCACAGGTGAGGATTGGATGAAGGACTTTGGATGTACTTATTAATATCAAAATTATAGTGGAAGTTTTAATATTATACTAACCATATTTACTCAATTAAGCACTGTCCCATGAGTATAAGAAGCTGTATGTCAAAGAGCAAAAATATTAAAGAGCCCTGCCCTCAAAGAAGTGCTGCATACGTGTAATCATTCACATTGCAATGTAGTTCTGTACATAATCGAAGTATCTTCAGATGGAATGTTTGTCGGTTCATGAGTGAGCACAACTGAAAAACAATTATGGTTTATTGATCAGGTTATTTGCGCAAACAACATTTTATGTGCTATTTAAAAATTTCTTGTCAATGGTTACTTCCTTTCTTATTATAGTGTATTTTGCATAAATGTATATTTTGATCTCAAATGTTATTTTTAATAGAATTATGGGGAAAATGAAGAGCAGCAATCATCTGCATCCAAGCAATGCTCAATTTGTGGTAACAGTAAATGCCAACGTCATAGGTAAAGATTGGAAAAATTTTTAATGTCTTGCTGGTAATAAATTTGGCTGAGTGACTAATACCCAGCCCATAGACAACTCAGTGGTATTAATTAGATTATGAGCTTTCAAAAAGAGGTTTCTTTTGCATTATGTAAGGTTGTAGTCCAAAATCACCCATTATGCATAAAAACTGATAGTGAATAGTATTTTTAGTGTAAATCTACTAGTCAATCAAAACTTTATCTAAATCCTCTTCACAGACACTTCAAAAAATGCAAAGAAGTGGCTGTCATTTTGTTAGCAACCGCACATTGCTAGGCTACTCACTATCTACAACTGAATAGATAATGAGTAGGGTAGCCAATCAGTCAGAACAGCATTCATGATAGAATGCTAGCTTAGCTACTAACTAAAGGTGATTTTTACTGAGAGATGAAACTTAAGGATATTTTGTTAAATGTTTTTTCTTGTTATCAGTTTGTTGTGGTCATCATCTAAAAGGTAATTAATAATAATTTCAAAGACAAAAAGGAAGAACTTTGTGTTGTCTAAACCTGTGTTAGTAATTTTTTATTTGTTAGCAAATATGTAGCAAGCCAATTTATTATTTAATCATGTCACTCTTGATTTATGATCTGATTAATGAAATACAGGTAATTTTATTTAACAATAAATATAAGCTTCATTATTTAAAATAATGTAAATTAAAGTTTAACTATTAATTTTACTGTTTAATGTACATGTATAAAATAAACTTCATAATTAAGAATGTCTAACTTGTCATTCTTGCATTTCAAAGACCAGAAATTTCAAGGGCTGAACTAAAGGTGAGCTAAGTAAAAGATTGTCTTATTTGTTCTTTCATGCATGTGAATTTACAGATACCTTATGACCATTTTTAACTTACATGTGAGTGCACTTATGTTTGTTTGTTTGTTTGTTTTTTTTAATTTTAATTGATTTTTTAATTTGAGTTTTTAATTTTTTAATAACAAAAATAATGGGTCACCAATGCGACCAAATTTTTTTCACTGGCTTTTCACTGATTGAAATACTTTTGCTGGTGCCTAAGTCTGAAAAATTAGGGGCCAGCTGGCCCCAAGGTTTTTTCCTGAAAGTTGAGCCCTGCAGGATGTCCTCAGTTCACTAGAAACACTGTCAGTAGTCATTTACATAATTATTAGTCTGTGAACTGTTTTACTTTTTACTTGGTAATAGTCACAGTGGAAGTAAAGCAACTTGAAATCCCTTCTCCTCTTGTCATCCTGCCAGCTTCTCTGATAGTACTCCCTTAATTATGAAATGTTATCTTGGTTCATATTTAGTCTTTTTCTGACAGAATTTGTTTTCATATTTTAGCCATGGGAAGATCTTCTTGTTCCTGAATCAGTAGATGCAGCTTTACAAGAGGTGTGTTAATTATTAAGTTCTTTGAAAATTTGCCGAGTGTTTCCATTTTAATTAACAATTAGATTATGAGCTTGAGATTTCTATTGCGCTATATAGTTGATGAGGGTGCAGCCTGAGTGAACTACATGTATCACTCATAGAAATCAAGAACAAGTAATCTATTGTGTGTATTTGTTTTTTTTTTTGAAGTGTCTGTGAAGAGGATTTAGATAAAGTTTTGAACAACTAGTAGATTTATACTAAAACAGTTAGATTATTCGCTCTCAATTTCTATACATGATAGTTGACTCGGGCTGTGCCCTCGTCAACTATCATGGAATAGAAATGTCAAGCTCATAATCTAATTCTTTAATAGAAACACGATTTTAAACCAATCAGCACACATATTTTCTTAGGGCTTATTTTCTAAATACTGTACATGTATTCAATCATGTACAGTGTATCCTTTAAAATTCTGGTGAGATTTGAATTGTACTGAGTGATCTTTTTGTGAAACTTGCTATGGATTTTTCTTTTAGAGATGTAACTCCAGTAATCTTATGACTAACAGCTAGTATTTGTTTTCTCAATATTTTAGTTTCTAGGCCTTCTTCTTCAAAGCTACGTCTACAGCTGGTACAGGTAATGACTAATTTGTGCTAAATCGTGATATTACTTGATATGTACTTGTTGATATGTAATCTCTCAGATGTTGTTCTTTCTTTCCAGTGAATTTTCAACCCTTCCTATTAAATCTTTAATACACTTTGTTATGTTCCACACTGCAGAGAGTTGAGCTGCAGTGAAATATGCGTTGATGAAATCCGTACAAGCATCAGATATATGGCAGCAGTGTTATTAAAAAGAATACAGAAGGTTAGTACTATTGATAAAAGTTTTATTTGATGGATGTTCAAGTTGCGTAGAATTTACAGTCATGCACAAGTAATGTGCAAAATGTCTGTGTGTACAATGTATGTTAAACCATCAAATAAGAGATTTATTATTTTAAATCCACCATTTTGCCTTGCTTTTCAGGTTGATATTCCAACTTTGATTACAGAAAATGTTGCAAAAGAAGGCTTGAAGCATTTAGAGATGTACCTTAGTATTAAAGAGAAAGGTATATGTCAGTGCGTGACAGTGTAAAATAGTATTAACATCAATTGCCTACTGAAGATGTTAGTTGCAGACACTGTGTTTGATGATGAGAAAAAAAATGCTTTTATAGTTATGACAAAATTATTGACTTTTGGGTGTTTGTCTCTGAAACTGATATATTTATGACGAAATGAAATAACATTAATTAGCATAATGAAGTATAAATATTATATGGTTATTTAATAGTATTTTTTTCATGTTTTGGTAAACAATTTTGGAACACCCTGAAAACGTGAAGACGAGTTTTCAAAACACCAATTTAAATGAGAATGTTTAAAAGCAATGTGTTTGTAATAATTCTCTATCATCATAGGCCTGCAATGCGTGCAAAGAGCTAGTTAAAAGCTCTCTGCATGAACTGTAGGCCTATGATGATACAGAGTGTTGTTTTCCAGTCAAATTGTCACAGGCTACCAACACTCAGACAGCAATACTAGATCGCTTTGGACCTAGGATGCATTGTGCCATGCAGAACCGACAAATGGAGCTTCATTACCTTCGGAAGCTCTCAGAATCCATTATTCCTTTTATATTACCTCCAGAATCTCTGCAATGTAGGTAAGTACAGCACGTACCTGCAGCTTGCTTGTAGCTTGAAATATTGCAAGTTTTGTCACACCTGTAGTATTTTTCAAAAATTCAATTTTTAATAGGCCATATTGTCTTGTGTCAATTTTAGGAGCCTTTTATCCTTACTGCGAGAATTAATGGCCAGTGCAGTGTTTCTGACGGCAGTGGACAAACTGTCAGATCCTGTAAGTTGAAAACATATACATACAGTATAACTGATTAGATCTTATGCGAAATTACATATTAAATAAAAATATTATAGTGACCTAAATGACCATGAACTGTTGATAATATGATGTTTGATATGTACTTGATTTATTTTTGAATTTTTTTGGAAAGGATTTTGTTAATAACATACTTCTCCTACTGTTGGACAAAGAACCAGTAAGTATTTGAAAATCTTTTCTCTTCACTTGTTTGCTTTGTACACATTTTTAAATATGATAAAATACTGTCATACATGTACACATATGTTTTGAGAAGTATAAGTTTTATGCAGTGTACAAATCAAAGATAAATTTGCCATTTTCTTGTAAGGGCAAATCTTCAGCCTACTTATATGTGATCAAACTCTTTTCACAGATGGTTGCCTCTACAGAACCTTCAAGTCCTAAAGTCCCTTTACTTGCTAAGTTCGGAAAACCGAGAGCTCCACTTATAAACTCGGTAAGTTATTTATCTGTTAACAGTAATTGCAGTAATTTACAAGAATCTCCATATTGTCCAAAAATGAACAATAAATCAATGTGAGAAGTTAAATAAATTTCAAGATTTCTGTCCACTGGACATGGAACCCTGCTATCTTGTGGCTGCAAGGCCCTTGAAACTATGGGTGCTAAATGCGAACTTGTTCTTTAAGATCTAATTACAATATTTTTGGGCTTACAGACACTGTGCCCTTATTCGCTAACGAAGCCTGATTTTTTCAGACTTAGGGTGTTCTTCCGGGCATGTCCTCTCCAAAACGAAGTCCTTGACCGCCCATTTTTCTTTTTACATTTCTGACGTAACTAACTCATCATATTACAGTCACCGTGGTAAAAGTCTCAGAAAAAAATCAATGTTGGAAAATTTTCGCGTGAACGTCCTTAATTTGTATTTTGATAACAATAACCATTGATGTTGTGTTTTTTTTTTTCTAGGCTCTTCATCTGTCCATAGCAGACATTCTTCACACCCAGTCTGCCCTGTTTCCATTCATGCAGTTTATGAAAAGCGAGGGAGCTTTAAATATTCTCCAGTTCTGCCTCACTGTCGGTATGTTACTACACACGGACAGTATAGCTTGCACTTGATTTGCTTTTAAGATTTTTGCCGTACATATGTGGTATGATCATTTTGAGATCTCTTTGAACTCGGTTTTCCACTTCTTGTTCAATCAGAACCCAGGCGAAATTTACTACATTGCACGTGCGGTGATTGAATTTAATTAGCGAACAAGTCTGGAAACCCACTAAGGATACAAAATGTTGCAAAGAAATTATGATCCATCATCATTTTACTGTTTTTGTTGACTAGATGTTAACTGGAATAATGTTTAAAGTGCGCTTCTGTGAAACTAAACGTCACTTACCTTTTTCTGATCATTTTTCATGGTAATGTTGCTCGCCTACATGCAGTATCGTTTGAAAGTTTTTACTATTTGCATACGGCAAAACCTTGTCTTTGCCGAGCTGTTCTGCCGCGAATTTACCGCGGTGGGACGAATTCCTCAACCTCGTCTTGCACGAACGTGACCGAACGAGGCGAGAACGCGGTATGGATCTGCGAATCGGCCGAGGCAAAACCGCGGCAAACGGGTAAATACTTCAAGGCGACACTGTAAATTGTAACACTCTTATTTTAATCACTGTCCAAATAATTTGCTGTGAACTAATATGTTGTTGTGTTGCTAACTTCTAAGAGGATTTCAACAAGCGAATTTTTGCCTCTGAAGAAACAAACGAGGAAAAAGAATTTCTCATTAGTGAGGTGAGATTTGTGCGAGGGTAGTTGATAAATTATTTTTACTGTGCTATAATATAACATTTTAATTTGTGTTTCCTTATATTTGCTGGTTTTACGCTTTCTTGACGTGCAGGTTAAAGAAATCTTCAGTTCTTATTTTGATACTGGCGCTGTAGACAGAATAAATTTTGACCCAGAAATAGTAGAAGGACTACAAGCATGTAAGTATTTTTTTTTCATGGTAAAATAAAATCTTATCAACAAACGATATTAACAAACCTTCAGTTTTAGAATCATGTATTATTTTCTTAAAAGAAAAACTTAATTATTTCCCGTTTTGTTTTAGGTATTATTGGTCCCATGGATAAAACAGAAAGATTAAAAATGGCAACTTTGCTTTCTAAGTAAGTGTGATCTCCTTTGCTTCCTTCAGTTTAAGTGGCATGCCTGAGAACTAGCTGAATGGTGTAGCTAAGGTCTTTGACCACTATAAATATTGAACTGGTATTTTATTAGTTTTTTTAGTAACTATCTAGTAGCTAGTGTACGTCTTATTAGCAATTCTTAGTATGTTAAAGTATTCGATAAGCATTCTTATTAACTATCTAGTAGCTAGTGTAAGTTTGTTGTAATTTTAGTAATTAATAATTTGTATTCTATAACGTGTTCCCAATTAGCGCCTATCGCGCTAGATGCATTTGACACGAAAATAAAGTTACTTTCTTACTTTTTCAACATTCAACAACATTTTCTAACTCGGGGAAAATAATTACGAAACTTATTTAAAAAAGTAAACCTCACGGCTGTGGCTGGAAATCATAGTGTGTTTGGTTCAAGGGTATCCATGTAGTTTGGATGAATCTGCTTTGGGTAAAGATGCGTTTTTTTGTATTATGCAAGCCGAACAAGAATCATGTTAAGTGCATTGTTCGGCATCTGGACAGATAAGCGTGTTGCCCTTGCTTAAATGTCAGTAGAAATTTGTATTCAAGTTTGTGTACATGTAATAATCAATCGATGTATATTTCAGAGCCTGTGAATATGCGTACAATCTACTGGAGACAACATTTCTTCCTCTCTTTTACCAGAGTGATGATGTAAGTATTGTTATGTTGTTTCAAAGACTTCACGCACATTGGATGTTGTGAGTTACAGCCATGTTTATTAAAATATTTGTTCAAGTCGGTAAAGTTGATAATCAAGTTGAACGATTCGTGCAGGTTGTATGAGCCGTAAAATGCGCTTTACCATTCATAGGTATACGATTAGTTCCAGAGGTTTACATCTATGTGATACTTAACAATAAAATAAAAGGGAGTGTTATTTCACGTAACCAACGATCAATTCCACGGAAAGGAGGCTCTGCAACGAATTTTTTTTAATGCGTACGGTTCGTACGAGTCGCGAAACTACATCTCATTATAACATTACGGAAGGGACCAAGAACAGTAACCCGTGAGAAAGAAGATAGAGACCCCTTACAAACACTGAACCACTGTGGTAAAACAAAACGTTTTTTTCTATCTTGCAGTATTTCTCTTTGTTGTGTGGAAGTCGTTTACCAGCCAAGCCATTGTACAAACCAACGTCAAGGTAAATTGCTTTCTCAAACGCTTTATTTTATAATGATTAGGGCTTAATGAAGGAATAAAATTACTGTTTTTTGGCCACTATATCACAAAGTTCAGCCTCGTGTCAAAGGTCCGCTTGGAAACGGGCGACTTTTTGAAAAATCAACTTAAAGTTAAATAAAAGTAAACCTAATTAAATTACTTATAATGTCGGTGAATTTAGCTTTGCCTGTTAGGGACGCACTCTTGTACCTATTGGAAACACTAAATAAACAAGCAAATATGATAAGTCAGTTAGAGCATCCCAGCTGGAGAGAGATTTACCAATTGGTCTGACGGTCATTTACAAATGAAGCGCGATCGAGTTGAACTCAGGACTACAGCTCTAGAATACATCTAAATTTTGGCAAGATTGAAGAACTGAACCAGGGACCTATAGATTTTTATAATACATAACTAGTTATGCAACGTTTTAAAGTGGTATACCATTGAATATCCCACGAGTCACTAGTATTTTCTCGGTATACAGACGAGCGTTAAGGCCATATACCATAATGCTACAGAAAATGTAGTGGGCAACACAATCAATCGGGCATACGCGTGGCGCACGATGGGAAGTTTGGATGTAATGCCGTGCAATATACAACGGTTCGACGGCTTTCCTACATTCTGATTGGTTGTACTTTCTATGGCATGGTATACAGCATCATAAACTACCCAACCATGCCGCGTGCCTTGTGTTATAACTATCTATTTTTTGTAGGGTTTCAAAGAAAAAATTTGATCCTCTGGCGGAGTTTTCAAGGCTAGCAGGAAAATTGAAAGATAAAGTGATGAATCCAAGCAAAGGTAGGAAGAGCTCAGTGCTATTCATGGCGCTGAAAACTGAAGTGTGGAGGGTTAGGTTGATAGGCAGAATTTGCGTCCGGATGATTATGGTTTATAGCCTGTAATGTCATTCATCTCCCGACCTCAGCCTAGTCCCCGAGCGAGGGACGCCTGCACAAGCTGAAAGCCAATCAGAAATTACTTTCCACATTAGAAACAGGAAGTGACGTCATTGGACGAAATTATAACGCTCAGACTTCAGGCGTCTCTCGGCCGGCAGGGATTGAGTTCAGGGCGGGAGATGACTGACATTTCTTTAATCTTTAATCTGTAATCTTTGTTGATACGTGTAAAAATAAAAAAGGTTTTTACAAGTCACCCGTAAATAGCATGACTAGTCAGTCGGGAGGGAACAAATACATTAAAACACTAAAACTACGACCGTATTAAATAACTGTGTGAAAAGTAAAGATTAAACGAGACTTTAATATGGATTCTGAGTAATCAGCCGGGAGTGCAAGAGTTGTAGAGTGTAGAGAGTAGCGCATGCGTCATTTCAAATACATGTGAACAAATAATAACCAGTGTCTGCCTCTTCTGATTTTTTTTTTTTTTTTTTCAGTTGGTAGAATATCCTTTGAACAACTTTTCTTCAAGTCTACTTTCTGTTCGTACAAACTGAATTGAACTTACACACTGCTTTGGCTTTTTCTGCACTTGCAATTACTGTATGTTGCCAGCGGAGTGAAGCCTAAGTAACGTCTTTTGATTTATTTTATACCACAGACGATTCACCGTTCGAAGAGGACCCGTTTGATATCCCGGATACACCTCCGGTAATACAGCACCTCACGAACATGGTCGCGTAAGGAAGTTTGGGATCGTTTGGCACGCCGTACTGTTGTCCATCTACGCGGGGGACTCGGTCTAGCGGTCCCAGCATCCTTGTGCGCGCTTAGCCATTGCCCAGTGTCACCGACAATAGGCCATTTCCGAGTTACCTTGTGCCTCTGTGTCAAAACGAGTCTTTCATATGAAAATGTGTTCCGCCGTTCATTTTCATACAAATCAAACTCGTTTTCATATGAAAGGTTTTGCACGGAGACTCGTTTCGAAACAAAGACACAAGGGAACTCGGAAATGGCCTCGTCTTATGCTGTGTTTGTTGCTTTTTTACAATATAAAAGGAAAAGTTATTGCTATTTTTTTGGGATTTTAAGGATTTTGAGCTGGAAAATGATAATGAAGAAACAGAGGAGGCGGAAGAAGAAGAATCACGTGATCTCAGCAGGTGGAAAGTGACGATACCACACGTGATCATGGAAACTAGACAGGTGATTGTTGATTTCGCCCAAGTTGCTTATTTGCACTTTTCTAAATGCTTGAACAAAAGTCTTGTAGCTTCTGGTCGTTCACTCGGCGCGAAAACTCACAGATATTTGTGCACAATGTTTCTTTTTTTGTGCGAGTAGGAAACTTGAGTTGTAATGTTCAGTTTATTTCCTCGACATCGCCTTACGCACTTTTGGCAGGCAAGTGAAACGTCAGGCATATATTCTGTGGTCTCTACTAACAAATTTCATCGAGTTTCGGTTGATTTATTTACAAACACTAGCATTTGCTTACTAACACCATGTTGGTTTCAAATAGCAAAATAACAAGCTCGCCTCTACAGTAAAGTATGAAATTTCTATGCAGTACAGCAATTTAAAATGCTTTGTTTGTTCTTAGTGTGTTCTAAATTCTTGTTCGTAGTTCCCAAGTATAAGACAGGTTTTCAAACTTAATGTTCCATACCGGGAATCGACTTGTAAAATAGTTTCTCGATACCTTTCTCATTTGTTCCTTTTCTTTACAGAAATGCATGTTCATCATATCAGTTGAAAGAGCCGATGTCACTGAAGGTATGCTCGCCGAGATTTCTGTTACTTTGAGTTTTCCTTTGGTGCGTTGCCATTGAAATCGTTGCCGTCTTGAACCGATATTCTACATTTTATTGCTTTGGGATTCATGTTCGTTGTTCCTGGTAACAGAAGAGATCTCATACGCCATACCACAAGCTTATTCACAACTAACCAAGGTCAAGTTGATTCACGTTTGATTCGCGTTTCGTTATTCACTCCACTTCGTTGCCAACGCGAATACCTTGTCTCTCATCTTGCCCTGATTTAAATGCTTGATCTCGCTCTTCAAGGCATTCTTTCTTATTTGTTGTGTTCTCTGTCAGTAACTGTTTGTATACGTTCTTCAAGCTTTCTTCTGCCTCGTCCAAATCTCTTGCTATTCTTCCGAACTTTTCTGTTAAGCTTTTTGCTCCTTGCTGAGTTATGTCAGCTCGTTCAAGGGAATCTTGGAGCCGTGATTCACTTTGCGACAGACTGTTCGCCAGATATGCCAATTGATACTTTAAGGTTTCGAGTCTGTCGCGTATTTCTTCGTATTCCATCATTTTGGTAACAAAGCTCTCACCCGGTCTGTTGTCAACGTGCTGTTTTAAAAGCCAAAACAACGCGCGCTTGTAAATTTCGGACTTTTTTACAATCAACTAATTTGCATCAGAACAAACCAAAATCGGCATCTTGAATGGTGGTTTTTGTTTGTCCCCAGAAAGCGGCAATTTCAATAGGGTAAAGAGTGTTTTACTCTAAGATAATTAGCTCATTGATTTTGATTTTTTCGTGGTCTACTCTTGATCTTAACGAAGCCAAGGACCTTTTCAGCTTCAACGTTTGGAAATGCCGTTGTTTTCATGTTGCCGTATATATCGGATCTTCTCGAGTACAAAAGCGTTAAATGTTTTCCACTCCTTCCTTTGTCGTGCAACAATATTTAAACAAACTGATGAGAATTTTTTTCCGGATTGAGAATTATTTAAGAAAAAAAAAAGTAAATGTCCGAAGGGCCATCAGTCGAGCGGCAGCGGCGACAAGAAAGTTGGTCAAGGCCCAAAATTTGTATCATGCAGCAATCCAAAAAGGTTTTGATGAGAACATGATGAGAAGAATTGTTTTTGGTTTTCACTAGCAAGCGAGCAGGTGCAGTGAGGTGCTGTTAAGTAACACCTTTTGTAAAGAAATTGTTCCAACAAAAGGTGCTAATTATCAGCATGTTTTACCGCGCCTGCGTATGGTGGCTTATGCTTTTGCTTATGCGCTGGTGAAAACCCGGCAGTCTTCACTTAACCTTCCAATAGTAGGAAAAGGAAGTACGTCCTTGCTGAATTAAGCTCGCCATTAACTTGACGGTCATTTAGGGCGGAGGAATTTGAAAACGGACGTTTCACTCTGAAGACGCATCAAATGTTTTCCGTCCTCACTACGCCGCCGCCAGAGAAATTTGAAACGCAGCAATCACCGGTCATTTTGGATTTGTGTTTGATTAAAACTCGGGCTGGGAAATATCACGATTATCGTGACGTCACCGTTTTTGAACAGCTTCGTTTTCAAAATGTTTTCTCTCCACACTAAAACGCACAGCCGGCGTTTTCAAATTCCTCCGGTGTAAAGAGCGTTTTCGAGAAGCTCCGTTTTCGTGACGGATTAGTGTGGACGGTAGGGCTAACCGTAGAAATAAAGCTGCGTTTTCAAATTCCTCCGGCTTAGTGAGAACGGGGCCTAAAAGTGAAAAGTGCGGCGTTCAAGCCGGGCCCTATTCTTTACTCTCGCCTATGCTTGTCTGTTGTTTTCGTGCTTTCCTTTCCTAGCGTGTATTTTAATAAGAATTTCAAAGGTGAAATAGTTTCTATTTTTTCTCACAGCTACAAGATGGGATGTTGCCAGGTAGGTTTCTCCGCATAGATTTCAACAATATTTCAAAATTTGTTTTTTTCCTTTAGTTTGTCAGTAATTTTTTGGCTCATTATTAGACGCGAAAACTGGTGTTTTTCTTTCAAACTGATTCATCGTTCTGCAATCTCAAATTACAGAACTAAACAAGTGACAAAGGTATTTTCTGCTGCTGTAGAATTTGCGGAAAAGGTTGTAGAATAGGTCGATTAAAATTTTCATCTAAAACATTTTACAGTGTGGTATGATTTGCGAAGGAAACTGAATCGAGATATTAAACTTTCCGCGTGTTTCATTTTCGACGATCTCAATGCCTGGTCTCGCGGAGGGCGACGGTGGACGACAATTTGGGGATAAGTCTGAACAACAGTTTTCTTCAACTATCGTTTACTATCTTCAGGGCAGTGAAACGAGAGCGTGAGACTGAACTTTCGTAACTAGCGTCGGCTAACGTTCTCGCAAAATTAACGAAAACAAACTGACCTATTTTAGCAAAGGAACATAGTACTGTGTGCAGTAATGAAAACAACATTACTTAAAAACAAGGTAATTTTTTCCCTAATAGTTCAGTTGTACCTTACTGTTATTCTCTTCGATTTTCAGGAGGTATAACGAGTTCTTTGTTCTCCAGAGCAAGCTTAAAGAATTTCATGGTAGGTTAAACATTCATAGTATTTATCTGTTTCCTCCTGGAGACCATGGTCCGGTCTATGCTCGAACCAAAGTTTTTATGCCGGTTCTTGTAGCATGAAGGCTCTTTCTCCTCCACAGCGCAAAAGGTTCCAGTGTCCGCTGTAGAATTCCACCATGCGAGGTGAATGCAGGCGCAAAGTCGAAAGAATTAGGCGTTTTTTATGTCAGCACTTGCTTTGCTCAGCCGATTCTCCCCAGGCGAAATACCTCCCTTGAGTCTCTGTGAAGGAGAAAACCATGATGCGGCCAGGAGTATTGCTCTTACCCCCCCCAACCCCATCCCTGGATGGGATGCTAGGCCATCACAAGTTGCTCCTGAAATTTTGATAGGCAGCCCTAAAAGATCGTTCATAATTAACAAGTAATGGACGAGGTTGAGCAAAATTTCCTAATTTGTCAGATACTCGCAGATCATTTATTTGACGAAGCCGGAGGGTGAGGCTAATAATTGATCTGCGAGACACTGACAAGTCACGAAATATTGCGATTACCGAGTTCAATAATTGTTTTTATCATGCGATCACCAAGTTTTTTTCCTTATTTTAATCACTTTCTGACAGCACGGGTGCCATTTTTCACACAGGCGCGTGGGCACAATAACGCATGAGTAGAATATTATTTGCAGCAAAACACATTCAGACGGTACTACGCATGAGCAGACCATTATTTGTAGGCAGTTATTTGCAGGTCACGTGGTGGGCTCTCGGCCGATGAAACGGAAGATAAAACTGCATTAAATGATAAATTAAGTGACTTGGGCTAGAACCCAGGCCGCTTGATCCCGAATCAAACGTGCTGAAAACCATGAGGTCCATCATTTCACAGCTAATAACCTACGAGTGTTGTTGTTTGTTTGTTTGTTTTGTTTACAGGTGCCATTGATGACTCCCTTCTGCCATCGAAACGTAATTCCTCTAAAACTATCTCACAAAAGAGTACAGCTGCTTACTTCGAAGCTTGTCGAGTTCAGTTTGAGAAATATTTAAAGGTGAATTAGCATGACTGACTTGAAAGTCTATTAGGATAACTTGCGATCAGGTGCCGGTTCTTTAAAAATTCAATTAAAGAAAGAGGCATGGAGATAAAAAAAAAAATTGGCCCGAGAGCTTTTATATTTTAGTTTGCTTTCTTATTCCTTGGTCACTCTAAACCAAAATTACGGAAGAAAGCGCGAAAGCCATCTGAGGATGAATTACTTGTGTGAACATTAATTTGTAAATTGGCTGAGAAGATTCAAAGACGGCTTAAGTCACGATACATTTCGCTAAATTTTGCCATGTTTTTGTGTTTTCAGTATTTGTGTTCTAATTCCCTGCTCAAAGGAAGTGCCCTGTTGTTCAACTTCTTTTCTCCTGATAAAGAATTCAGCAACATGTTTGGTCCTGACAAAATGGGCGACAAAGCGGGTGAGACTGGTTGATGTTATTCATTTACCTTACATACCTAGAGCGGTTTTCATTTGAATGTCGTAAAACCAAAACCAAAGTAATCACTCCAGCCAATCACAAAGGACACAGGCAATATAGTGAACCAATCAAACTCGAAATGATTTCATGTAGCTGACGCGAAGCGCGGGAAAACGCGTGCGAACGAGTCACGATTGGTGTTGGTTTTGCTACTGATTGGATGAAAAATTGGCGCGAGATCTTCAAGCCAATCGTGTAGTGTAGTAATGGAAAACCATTCACTTTTAGTATCACCCAACTAGTGGACGAATGCAAATCCTGCATTTTAATTGGCTACGCTACTAGAGGTCTATTAGTAATAGTCCTCGAGTAGCGAAANAGTTGGGTGATACTAAAACAATTAGACCCTTCGCCTTCAAGAGCCACGGTTCAATAGCCCATTCGGCTTCACCTCATGGGCTATTGACCCGTAGCCTGCAAGGGCTACGGGTCTAATTGTTAATTAGGCGCTCAAATGAAAACCACTTTATATCGTGTCTCGTTTATCCTAAAGCTTTTTCTAATCTGTCGTTTACTGTTGGGTACACAGGAAAAAAGTTCAAGTCCATGACAACGATACTCAAGAAGGAGGTAAGGAGAAACATCATTATAATGCTGAACTCTGAAACGTTTTCCGGGTGGCGTGAATAGATAATCCAATAAACTCCGCTATACAGAAGCATTTGTCCTCACAAACGTATACGGTAACTGAATAATAACTTTAAAAGCTTCAGTTGTTGTTTTTATTGTTATTTTGCTTGACCTTGTAAGTTCAGTGTTTAGTTTATGAGTAAATGAAAGCTACCCTTCAGTAGATTATTTGGCGTTTAAGTAGAATTCTTAGTGGCATTTTACGATCTTGCTTCACAGAAAGGCCAGAACCTTGATCCTTTTCTGCAAGCGTTTTTATCTTCTACCGTGGAACCAACAAAACGAAAACCACTACCAAAGTACGTAAATATTTGCATATATTAAATCAGTAATGTTCAAATACAAAATGTAACAATAATAAAATGACTTATATTTGGTAACAGCGTGATTCCTTTGAACTATTGATGCAAGCATATTAGTATAAGTAAAGAACACACGCGTTGCTGTTGCTTTGAAACATTTCGTTAATTGTATTTTTGATGATTCCTATTTTCTCACTGCGCGCTCGACAATGTAAATGATATCCCAATAGCCCAATTTCGATATACTAAAACTCATCCTAAAACAATAGACCTCAATGCGAGGCTCTGTGGAATAACTACAGAGTTTGTGGGGTTTATTTCCCAGAGTCTTGTGCTGAGGTCTATTGCTTTAAGCTAAATTTTAATATATCGAAATTGGTCCATTAAAATGAGGTTTTTTACTACTTCTCCTGATCGTTTTATAAAAGAGCTGTGGTAAATAGGGACTTATGTTTGTTTTGTTTGTGTTTGTTTGTATGGTTTTGCAGAGGCCTTCTAGATCAGTCAAAACGAAGCGAGGTACCCATTCAGTTTCTTATTCACTCCTGATTTCTTTTCTTTCCTTGCTGCCTATGTTGTAGCCTTCACGCAAAACGCTACATGTATTAATGATTTCTCATAGTTAAGAGGCTCTTTTCGAGTGTTCTAATGCGGGAAATGTGTATGATCTATTTTATTTCACTTAGGAGGGACTATTTCCAGGAAGAAGAAAAACCTTGTAAGTTTTGTTTATAATTTCAGAGACTGAAAGTTCTACACTAGTGGCGCTACATAACTTATAAACATTACTGAAATTGTAAAAATAATTTTGTGGATAACTGTCGTAGTATCCCCCACCTCCCTCCGTTAAATAAGTTTGTTTTACCCCGCAATTTCGCTTTCCACGCATAACCCCTAGTGTGGCAGAATTTGGTTGCCTATTTAATTTTTTTCATTTGTTCTTAGGAGTAATTCAATGCGCTTAAAAGCGGAAGGTAGGTCAATTTTTGTATGGTAATTCGAGTCAAAATTTCCAAAATCGTCCACGTATTGTAAATGACGAAATGGTCAGCTTCTAACAAGTTGGGATTTTTAACAAGTTTTCTGTTCTATTAACAACACTTTTTTCCTAATTTATAATGTCCCTAATTAGTACAGTAGTGCTAATATCTATTTCTTTATTTACTTGTTGATTATTAAAGAGGCTATCGCTCCGCGCAAGACTAAAAAAATAAATAAACAGATTGGTCGTCGTTGTCGTCCTCCTTGTACCTCAACGAGTTTCTTGTACTTATTTTAAGCTCATCCACTTTTTCAAACCATAATTTTGGGGAGCAGGGATGGCGCAGTGGTGAGAGTGCTTGGCTCCCACAAGTGCGGCCCGGGTTCGTTTTCGGCCCGGGGCCTTACGTGGGTTGAGTTTGTTGTTGGTTCTCGCCTTGCTCCAAATTCTCTGGTTTTCCTCCTTGCACGAAAACCAACACTCCAAATTCCAATTCGGCTAGGATGGAGGACCCGCGTGAAAACCAGCTGGGGCTGATACGACTTCCTCTCTAAATATTGTAATTTTGCTCTTTTATTCAGCAGCATTACTAGACGAAATCACCTTCAAATGCCCGATCATTCTCACTGATATCGACTTAACATGTCGTTCTTTCTGATACTCAGCGACAGGCAAGCCGCAGCTACAAGTCACCGGTGTTACTGATTATATCCTCTACCTTGGTTAGTGGTGTTGTACGTTTTGTTACTTAACTCAAGTACCTGTCGCCTGTGCCAGGGTTATTGAAGTCATGTTAAAATTTTTGACCGTTTCCAGTCACTCCATAGCGTCACTCGCCACTATATGAACGAGAAGAAATCTGGGCCGAGTCTCACTTCGCAGTGGCTTGTGGAACCGTTGCTGATGACAAGACAAAAGAGAAGTCAAACTGAAGAAGAAGACAAACGAAGAAGAAGACAAACGATTCCAAAAAGGAATGCGAGACGAGACTCGCCTCAGATTTCTTCTGGTTTCTACAGTGGCTAATTTGTGCCTTAGACTTATTTTGTAGATAATGGTTTCACTTTAGCAGAAGACATGGTAGCTGTTGTAAATGTACGTTGGAGTGCTGTCGTCATAATTTTTTCTGGCTCTCAATTTTCCTAGCTCAGCGGCTGTTTAGTGTTCCAGCGTGGTTATACAGCTTGCTAGTTTGTGGAAAAGTCGCCTTTCAACAGACCCTTGATGTGTACGCCGACAGGTATGTTACGGTCACCTATTCTCCCGCCCCTTAATGAGTTTCCTTCGTAAAAATACCAGGTTAAGTTCATCCCGGTTATAAAGACATGTGCTTTTGTGTTTTAGATATTTAGCCGGTAAATTGGATCTATTAACAAACGAACATCGCTTGGTTATGATCATTCACTTACTAAGAGGTAAGTCTCCCGAATTGACCGGCTGGATGCATTTTGAAAGTGCATTCATTTGTCGCGTACTCCAAGGTCCGTTATGGTTCTTAACCCATGTCCTATATCGTAAAGCCCTGGGCTTATATAAGTTCATAAGGGGTTTTGGGTGGGTATATACCCGGGGGGTAGGGTATATCCGGGGGGCATATAAGCGAAATAAAGAGAAAATGTTTCGGAACGACGAGATAAATCGTATCTGAGAAACGAATGAAAGCTAACATACCATTACATTTATAATACATTTATAAAACGCAAAAGGAACGCACTTATACATTAGATGGGCTTGTATCCGGGGGGGCTTATATCCGAAATAATATCTTTGTTAGCAAATAGAAGGGCTTATATCCAGGTGGACTTATAACCAGGGGGGCTTTAACGTGGGATTTTACGGTATCCTAGTTAAACCTGATGCCTTTTTTGTTTGTTTTCTCTATTTATAGATGCAATCTTCTTTGATCAAGATCCCCCGAGGTAATACTTTCCGCCTTTCTTTATTTGTAGTTTGCTGGCACTTTTATACATCGTTCTGTTTTTCTGTTTTCTGATTTTACGATTTTTTGCTTGTTTTTCTCTTGTTGTACAGAACCGATACACAGAAGTTAGAAAGACGCGAACAGACTCTGAAAGAAATGCTGGATTTCATTCCAGGTTTGGTAGTTACATTTGCGTAGCTTTTTATACAAAGTACAAGTCTACCGCGGCCTAAACTCCGCCCAAATACTAGTTTGGTACAGTCTACCAGTTAGCATGTTAAAAACAAGAGTTAGATAGGAAAGCCTTTTTCTTGGAAGCTGTCGTCCAACCCGTTAAGAATGTAAGAATGCCGCCATATCCTTCCCGTCTACTGTAAGCTACTTGAACGGAAGTTTATTTGGGGAAATCTTTCAAACTTTTACCCTTGTAATTGTGTTGGCATTCGAGATCTCTACTCAACCTCGTACTACTTGGTTTCAGAGCTAAGGCAAATGGACAGATGTCATCCATTAACCTGGGAATATGTCTACAAACGTATTTGTTCTTTTGCTGTATTTTATTGTGGTACATTTTACTATCACGTACTCAGTCAAACGTATGTTGTGATAATGCTTTGTGTTTCAGACATGGCTGTACGAGTGATAGGCACCGAAAGACATAAGTCCGGTATCACGTTACTATTTGAGCTGCTACAACAACCCAGGTTGAATAAACAGGTAGATATCTTGATTGGAGCTCCTACCTTCTGTTTATCAGGTTAACACGAAATTACGGAGGTCATAAAAAAGACTTTGGTTGATAACTTGAGGAAAATGATTTTACGTAGTGTTGCCAGAAAGTCGTAAATCATCAAAGCCAGTTATTTCAGTCTTTCATAGAATCAGCAATTTTTCTTTTCTTCTGTTTTATCCAGTTCGTTAATCAAGATTCTTGATGTGTGCAAAATTGAATAACATTGTGGTTGTTTGGTTAATGACGAACCTCTCTTGACATTTTTATGACCAAAATTCATAGCAGGTCACAGGAATGAAGAATTTGATCAGGACTATTTTAATTAAAAACCAAATTCATTGAAGGAGAAATTTTAAAAAAGTATGACCAGAAGCAAAGAGAATTATGATTTAATCCCTGAACTTATGATGGACTCGCGCGTTTTTTATCTCTCACAGCTGACCTATGTTCTTCTGGATTGTGTGATCGGAGAGATCTTTCCCGAACTAAAAGAGGTACGTATAATGTTATTTTTATTTCCGAAGAACTTGAACTACTAAAATGGTTGTTTGGGTGTGACTGAAATGTGAAACGACGAAACGATCTCTTTTTTTGGCAGACTTCATTCCCTTGATTCACTATAAAGAGATATCAGAATTTATAGAGATGCCAAAATTTATAGCTACTTGCTGAGAATTGAGAAATGAGGGGCAGCCTAAACAACGAAAAAGACAAAATCATCAAGTTATTGATAACTTAAGACTTAAATTGCAAGAGCAATCTTGCAATCGGTTCTCTTGCTACTGAAATAATCTTGCTGATCCGATAGGTCCTGTTTTTAACAGCAAACAGTTATCAATAACATTGATATCTTTAATATTGTTGTCCTCAGAGCAAGTTATTCCCAGCGGACGAACTCCCAAGTCGCTGCTGAATGGTTGAGGTGAAGACTGGTCCAACGCCCCGTCCGCGCTACTCGGGAGGAATTTGAAAACGCAGCTTTATTTCTCCGGTTAGGCCATCCGTCCACACTAAACCGTCACGAAAACGGAACTTTGCGAAAACGCTCTTCAAACCGGAGGAATTTGAAAACGTCGGCTTAGCGCTTTAGTGTAGACGGAAAACATTTTAGAAATAAAGCTTTTCGAAAACGATAACGTTACGATAGTCATGATATTTTCCAGCCCGAGTTTTCCTCGACCACAAATCTAACATGACCGGTTATTGTTGCGTTTTAAAATTCCTTCGGCTAGTGTGAACGGGGCCTAAGCGGCGAGTGGAGCGAAGTGTTCATCGAAGATGCTACATTTTTTGCCAGCCAACGAAACTGTTGGAAAAGTGTGCGATAGAATAAACAAGGCCTAAGTGCTTAATTGGCACGAGAAAACAAATTTGTGAAACATTTTAAAAATGTTATTGAAGTCTAGTGTACATGTGGTTGCGAAAGTACTGTGTATAAACAAACCAAAACGTCACATATAAATCAAATGGTTGTAATTTATATTTTATATCAAAAAAAATTGTGAAATAAAATGATTTATAGAAACCTTGCTGTCTGTTTAGTGTGCACTCAAACATAAAAGTAACTAATACTTTGTCTGTTTTATTTTTCTTGCGTCATCTTGATTAACAGCACATTCTCAAACAATTAGATTATGAGCTCGAGGTTTCTTAGCGTTTTTTTTTTTTCTTTCTTATTTTTTTTCATCTTGAAGTGAACTAAATGTTCGTTATAATTTATTTGTTAATCAATTACTGTATTAGCAATGCGCTGCCGGACGAAAACATTCAAGGCTACAACAGGACCTCTGTAATAACAGGGTGTTACTCTACCAGCTTAGAAACTATGAAACCTGGAAACAATGCGAGCAGGTGCATTGTGGGTTCTGCCAATATCCCCATATGGAGAGATGCCATTATGAATACACAAAAGATGTAGTTATCAACTGCTTTTCTCAATAATTCAAGTTTAAACGAAGGAAATCATGACCGTGACAGTGTTTGGATATTAGCATAGATTTATGCGATTTCATTTCTCCGTTTTCTCCTTAGGTTTGGTTTTGATTGAGAAGAAGTATTAAGCACTCAAACGGTGTATGACAACATTTCCAAACACCTCGAAGTTCGTCAAAAATACGCCGCTGCGCGTCTCAACGTAACGGTTGTTCCTAAAACGAGGAATGGGGAATGGTGAATGGGGCATGGGGCATGGGGCATGGGGCATGGGGCATGGGGCATGGGGAATGGGAAATTCAAATTTTTTTTACATTAACTTTTTATAATGTGGAATAAATTTTTTCAGCGGCTATTATCGATATCCAAGTTTTATTTTTTGCAACGTTCTGCGCCAGAATAAAAGGAAATGATAATGGGAGAAGTCACCCTGCCTTGTTTCTTTATTTCACTACCTGAAGCTATGTTTGTTATTGGCCGGCTGGTCGGTCCGTTTAGTGAAAAACTGTGACCGACGTCTTGAAAATGCTGCCCTCGCCCTGCGGCCTCGGGCAGCATTTTCAAGCCTGAGGTCACAGTTTTTCACTATACGGACCTTTTCTTCCTGCAGTGAAATGGCTTACAGGTGGGTTTGTTTACGCAACTTTGTCATTTAATCGGCTTACTCGGCGTCTACAGAACAGATTTTTTTCAAAGTACTTTATGTTAGTTGAATTTAGTACACCAGTTAAGTTCTCCAAAATTGTTTTTCCGGTGTGAAATTTCGTGCAAAGTTTGAAGTACTTTGTATTAC